CTGACTTTGTGATTTGTTGAGACATGATAATGCAGGCCGATGACGGCGACGCTGGAGGCGGTGACCATGGGATGTTGCAACCACGGTCATCCCGTGCTGGCACCGGCCATTGGAGAGCTGCAGTCGAAGTTGGGAACCCACCGGCGCTGGTGCTGCAATCTTGCGGCCGAAGATGGTGAGTGCTGGGAACAGGCGCGCGCGGCGGCACGAGCGCCGGCGAAGTCGAGTGGCGTGGGTGGCCGGAATACATGGGATGCAGAGGAGGAGTCCAGCTAGTCGGCGAGACAGATCCAGCGTGTTTGACTTTTATTCAGGGCGTTTAGCGATTCATCTGAACGGTTTAAATGCGCTGTATCCTACGGTCGCGGGGCGACCGGCCCAAATTTGGGCCGGCGCACCGGCGCCTATAAGTGCCCAATAATAAAACATGGATTGACTCCGTGGGTTCACCGTCATCTTTCTTTTTTGTACCTTCGTAGTTGGTAAAAATAAAAAAAAAATGTGTTTATCCCCTCGATCTTGGTTTCTGTTCGGTCTTGGTTTCTGTTTCAAGTACGTGCAAAGGAATCGAAAAACCAAAAAAACGTTTCACGAACTAGGAAAAAAACATCTTCAAATAACAGTTTTTGGAAACTGGCACCTCCATTGGAAACAAAAAGAGACACAACAGGTGTGATAATAAGGGACTCCAGATCAAAATCTCAATCAGATCGGATGTCTTGCGTTTCCATATATATACGAGACCAACAGGAGGATTCCTGACCAACAGTTTGCACGTACGTGTTCAAAGTGGCTTTGATGGACCCTGCAATGTTGGCTGGGCCAAGCATGAAGTCGCGGCAATCAGCCTATGGCCTGACAAACCACGCTGCCCGCCTCGCCGCCGAAAACCCTCGCACTAATCGCCAATCAGCGAATCGAGTTCACGGTGAATCTGAAGGAGAGGGAGGACGAGGGGCACTGGATGATCAAGCTCGCTCTTCATGCAACTGCCTAACGAGCGAATAGGACGAGCGAGGCGCCGGTGTCGACGATGGATGCCCTCGAGGCCTCGACAAAAATCGCTGGAATCCGCTGTCTCCGTGTTGGGAGAACGACACTGAGGTGGTTCTGGGAGGCGTGCGTGGTGGCGTCAAGGCCATCGTCTTCCTGCTCTTTGTCAGGCGACACATAGCCTGTCGGCCTACTTCTCTTAACGGCTGTATCGGCCACATCGCCGATAGGTCGATCTGTCTACGTCGAGTCTGAGCATCAAAGCAGAGCAAGAGAGGAGCCCCGCGACACGCATGCTTCCACCATCGGCCGTGGTTCCAGAACCAACACTAGCCTCTGGCCAAGTGACCCGGCCTGCCCATCATGTCGATTGCCAAATCTCCCTCACGAACAAAAAGAAGGCGGCGATGGCTGCTAAAATTTTGGATCGGACACGGCTCCTGAAGAATAGAACGGCGCATCGAGATCTGCAGGGAGGGCCATGCTGCCTCGCGTGAAAGTGAAAGCCCAACCTAAACCGTCCTGGCGGACATGACAAGGTAAAAACACTGATGAAGAGATTTAATTTTGTTTGGTGTGTTCGTTGCATGATAGACGTCTGTTCTTTCCTCTTGTGCCTTGATCATTCAAGTTGGATGGCACGAGATTGACTCGCATAGGTTGGTAGTCAATGGTGCGTACCAAAGTGCTACCAATCTGCCCCAAGTTGTTGCATCAAGGTGGGATGATCACCCTGTTTAGTGCTCCTGCTCACTTCACAATGTTTTGTCGTGAAAGCTCAGTCCTAGAAAATTAAATCTTTTTATGTACATTCCTTCAGGCGGTGGATGGGGCACACACCTCCTTGGACCAATACTTCCCCAGGTGATCCCGTGCGACGAGCACGTCTATACCCTACAAGCGGCTACTGCCGCACCCTCTCCGGTGGAGGCGGCAAAGTCGTGGGCGTGTTCTGTAGCTTAGGGCCGCACCATGGGCAACCCGATCGTCGCTCTCACGGCCACCGCCGCAGACTTTGTGGTAGGCCTGCTTATCCTCGCCAAGCATTGTAGGTCGAGATGACACACATAATGGTATGCATAATTCAACAAGTTTGCTGAAACATGTACCACTTTCTTCATTAAAAAAAATAGATGTCCTAAATAAGCTCTAATATGTCACCATGATTGTTCTTATTGTTAAAGAACGGGGAAAAGTTCTTTCAAATAATTTACTTATTTTTAGATTTTTCTCCTCATGCATTTTTACTAGCTAGCTGGTGATGTTGAGTGATCCTTTTCCATATGAATGTGCATAGTATGTAATTTTTTTCAGAAATATTCTTCTGAGGGATTTTATTGTGTCACGGGTAAATACGATCTCAGGTTCCCATGTACTGCCAAAGTATCATTCACAAGAATTTATTATATTGTTATCAGCTATGATTTATGCTATTTTTTAACATTTCGCTAAATGTAAGACTATATCATTATTTGTTGGTTAAAATTTTATATTATATATTTGCATATGTGTACCGTTATTTAGTTAACATGATATGTACAGGAGAATTAGGTGGGACTACATTATTAATAATCATTATAGGTCTTAGCTCGATTTAAAGGTTGTAATTTTGTTACTCTGAGGCAAATGCACATGCCTTTTTGCTCACTGGAAGAGCAGGAAAAGGTGAAACTTGAGACGGATCTGACACATGCGTTGATTCATATTTTACCAATGGTGCTTAGTGTTTCTCTTGTCGAGTACAAGGAGAGAGCTTCAAATGTTAATTCATCACTGTTTTGTAAATATTATTTGCAAAGCTACATTTTCTAAGGTGTAGCAACGCATGGTTGGAACCTTCCATGTTGTCGAGTTTTCAAAATCACAATGGCAATGGTTTCAATAAAAATGAGTTGAACTTCCAATGTGTTTGATTTGCCAAAGGCCAACAAATGCTACCAATCTAGCGCCACTTCAATAAGAAACGCTAAAGTTTGTATGTCTGGTAAGCACTATTTTAATTTTTTTTCCTGGTAAGCACTTTTTTGTGGTTGATTTAAGGGTCCAAAAATCAGAATTATGTAAGAATCATGAAATTTCTGTTGTTGGGGATCAATTTCCTATGAATGAGTTATTGGTCTGCCATTTTAGTGTATGAATATGACTAGGATAGCGATATTTTGTCAACTCCATTATTTATAGCCATTTAATGTGTTTTGTGTAATAATATATTAGTTGCAAGCATGTGTGATGTGAAGCAGGCATGATGGGACATGTGCAGAGCGACCGAAAGTATGAGGCATGGTGTATGAAATATGTGCGGAGAGGGACCCACGGATGGCGGCCATCATCTCCCGCACAAAGAGATTAGTTTAAACATCCCCTTTCCCTGGCAGGGTTAAACGACAAATATGTCGTGAGGCGGTCAAGCTCATCCCCTTGGCATTGATAATGTCTAGACGTGATGTGACTAGATGGATAACTCAGCCATGATCGGGGAAGGCCAGAAGGAGGATAGGCGGTGACACGTGTAGGGACGGTTTGTTTAAATAGAGGTCATGGAATGAGAGCGGGGGATGTGTCCTAGAGTCATGCCTATTATACTAGGGCCTACACAATAATGTCAAGCGCTCGCCACGGCAGGACGTCGGGCCGAGCAGCAGCGGGCTCTCGCAAGGCGCGGCCACCATCGGGATCGCATCAGGCTCAGAGAAGTCGGCAGGGTGGAGGACGTATCCGTGGAGCTGCAGGACGCGGCGTCATCCGTGGCGGAAGGGCAGAAGGAGGCGCGCGCGAGCGTGGGAGGGCGTGGGTAGCCCCTGCGCACCATGGACGGGGCCGGCCCGCTGGACGAGCGGGGCAGCAGCGGCAGCAGGGGAGACGGAGGCCCGCGGGTATGCGTGCCGGCAACGGCTGCAGCATGGGGTGTCGCTGACGGTAGAACGCCACAGGCGTGGGGGGCAATTGGGTAAGGAGTGCCGGCAGGGTAGGCGGGGGCGGCGCGCTGCGGCGGGGCTGGGGCCGGCGCCTCGCGACAGAGGGTGGCGGCGCGCTGGAGGTGGAGATGCGATTGGGAGTTTTATTTTTCTATCGCTCGTGGCTGTTCGCGTTGACTTGATCGGACTGCGAGTTTATTCCTATAAACTTTAAGGGCTTTTCTGGAAAAATACTAATGATGGACGATCAGAAACAATAACCGCTTTATTATTAATTAAGAAGAAAAGAGGAAAGATATATATATATATATATATATATATATTAGAATTAGGAAAAGATTATTACTATGTAATCCGTTCGATAATGTAAGAATCCTTTTGGTATGTGATGAACTCGTCTTCGTTTGTGATGATCTCAAACAGATTCTTGTGTGATTTTTTTTTGAATTATGCAGTACCGTTGAAGAAGTTTCAACCGAACAAATTCTTTTTGCTTCTGTTCCGGCTGAAGAGGTTCCAATCCGTGAAATCAATTTAGCACGTACAGCAAACTAAATTTAAGGTTTTGAATTTTAGTGGATGTGCAAGAGATGCTCTATGTCACCCTGCCACAACCTTGTCGTTGCCGTCCTTTTCAAAAAAAAAAAAGAAACGTGTCGTTGCCCTTGTCTCCACGGGAAGGGCAAACAAGTAACTTAACTCTCAACTAAGGCAACGCAACAAGACGGAATAGACCCGCAACCGCTGCGCCCTCTTCCGGTCGATTCACGTTCACTGCGAGGGGGAGGAGGAGGAGGACGGCCAACCCCTGCGCTAGACGAGCCTCTACAAGGTACTCCCCTACCCCGCCTCGAAGCTCCCTGTCCGCCTTCACTTCGAGTTTGATCCTCCACCCCGAGATCTGATCCGATTCATAAATCCTGTGTTAGTATTCCCCATCAATCTGGGTCAATCGAGGTTAGTTTCTGGGTGCCACGCGGTACCAAATTATACGATTCCTGTTTCGTGCCAATCTTTGTGCTGATTAGTGCTGTTGGGAATTAGGGCTTCTGCGGTGGCTAATTTCGGGAGGTAGAAGAGGGAGGAGGAGCCATGAACGGTGGTAGCAAGCAAACGCTGATATACAGCTTCGTGGCCAAGGGCTCCGTGGTGCTGGCCGAGCACACGGCCTTCTCCGGCAACTTCAGCACCATCGCCGTGCAGTGCCTCCAGAAGCTGCCCTCCAACAGCACCAGGTCCACCTACTCCTGCGATGGCCACACCTTCAACTTCCTCGTTGACCGTGGTTTTGGTATGCTCACGAATCCCTCTTTTGTTCACTGCATCTGCAAGCCTGCTTGTGAAAAGCATGTGCGGTGTCAGTGTCGCTCGAACCTGTTGAGTTGACTTCGGATGTGTGTAGTGTTTCTTGTGGTGGCCGAAGAGGCGTTGGGAAGGAGCGTGCCGTTTGTGTTCCTAGAGAGGGTTAGGGAAGACTTCATGCAGAGGTATGGGTCCAGTATCGATGAGGAGGGACAACACCCGCTTGCTGATGATGCGGATGAGGACGATTTCCTGTTTGAGGACCGGTTTAGCATCGCCTACAATCTTGACCGGGAATTCGGGTATGGAATTGTTTGCTTGTTGGGTTATATATACTTTGGTGTTCTCATTACCATGGAAGTGCTTCTTATTATTTTCTCTCTGTCCTGAGTTCAGGCCAAGGTTGAAGGATCACATGCAGTATTGTATTAATCATCCAGAGGAAATTAGCAAGCTCTCTAAGGTGAAATCACATCTTTCAGAGGTTAAAGGGATCATGATGGACAACATCGAGAAGGTATGCATTTAAACCAACATGTTCTATCCGGAGCGATGGTCTGTTGCACACACTTCCCTGTTGGGAAATTTAGTCTCAGTTATCTCAAATTTCTAAATCTATTACACTGTACACTGGAATTTTAATCTGTACTGTTTAAGTGGAATATAAAGCTAACTAGGGACTATCACATGTTCTTTTATGTACAGTTTGCTGTACAAGGGTGTGATATAAACGTGCTGTTTTTATATTTTAGCATTTTTAAGTACATGGGTCTCATAAAAGTAACATGCGCTTTTGTGCAGAAACTATGTCTTACAGTAATACTTCATTAATATTACTGTGAGCTGGAGTTGATGCACTTTCAAATGAAAATAAGTACTCTTAAAATAGGCAGTGATAGGTGGTGATGAGATTTAGTACAATATGAACAGTAATTATTGGATCTTGTCCTCTATTTTATTTGAAGATATACCGTTTCCTGGCAAGGGATTATATACAATCGATGTTCCTCTGACAAAGTTACGCTGTGTTCTTTAATCTATCCATTGATTTTATGCCTTTCTTTGAGGTTTCTTAATATTTATTTCATATATATCTTCACTCTGCCCGTAAGGCAAGCAAACTGCAATGTCCTGGGGCATATATTATTATGGGTGGATGTGCAAAGATCCAAGTCTAGTGCCCTGTTCAGTTACCGTTTTGCAAGAGATCAAGCAATGCAAAGCGGAAAATAGCCACAACTTCATATCATCTAACTGAAATCATCAATTCAACAGTTCTTTTTCATGCTTCATATATTTCATGTCATTGACTTTACTTTGACTGTGCTGGACATTCCTTAGATATTAGATCGTGGCGAGAAGATTGAACTTTTGGTGGGCAAGACCGAAACCTTACAGTCGCAGGTATGGATATAACAAGCCTTGTGTACATGTATCCTCTTGTTTAAAATCCTATATGTGTAAGCAACTTTGACTGAGGATTGCATTGTTAAATTTACTTCAGGCCGACAGCTTCCATAGGCATGGCAGAGAGCTCAGGCGCAAGATGTGGCTTCAGAACCTGAGGTTTAAGCTGATGGTCTGTGGTGGCATCGCATTTTTGATCCTCATCCTCTGGCTAATGGTTTGCAGGGGCTTCAAGTGCTAGAGAGTTCAGAGTCTTCATTTGCCCTTTTTTCCTTGTCATTTGATGTTCTGTTTACCGTGTCATGTGCATATAATGACCACCAAATTATGCTTTCGCTATGTTCCGAACACAGTTATGTGGTGTGAGACCCTTAATTCCTCATAGACCATCCTTATGTTCCATAAGACCATAGGGATCTGGAGTACTTGTGTAAGCTTTATGAGAGAGGGGGACGTCACTCGATTATATGTACATTCTGAAATACAAGCTTATTGCCTGGACCTTGCTTTGCTCAGATCCTCTTGACGACGATCCATGTTGCACCTAGCGCCAAAGATATATCACGGTGGTGTATTTGGGATTTCTTATTTATATTATGAGTATAACTTGGAGAAGTCGAGCGCCTATCAGCAATTTTCTGCAGGATACCTCCGGTCATATGCATGCTGTCTACCTACCATATCTCTAGGAATACTAATGGCATTGCCCATAGTTGTGCTCATCAGGTTCTCAATTCAAGAACAGAACCTGTTTTCTACTGTACTTATTATACTCATGGCAACAGTTCTTGCCCCTTTCTGCAATCTCCTCGCCTTTCAGCTGCAGGATTTTGTAATTCATGCTGTATTCTGCTTATGAGTTGAATGAAACTTTGGCGCTTGATGGCACCTTCCTTGTGTTCATTTTTTTAATGAGTATATGCATCGCGGTATCGAGGGAGCTGACCCTTACTCCCAAAAAGAAAGTGAAAGTGAACAGAGGGGGGACTCCACCGTGTCTTATATAGGGGATGAGAGACTCGAACCCTCGCTGGTGACATCAACCTTTGTGAAGAACACCAGTCCAGGACTTGAGTGCTGGTGGGCAGTGAGTGCACCCGCGTTGCTAGCCACCGCGTTGCTAGCCACCCGAGCGACGGTCAGTTCTCATGAGACATCCAATTGGTCATAGGATGGTTGTACGATCTAGTTCACGCGTCTAAGCTTTGTCCGTCGTGTGATCACATGAACATTTTATCTTTCTTCCCTTATTCCAAAATGTTATTGAAGATAAAAAGTGCCCACTACAGCGGAGTTCCACATGTGCCCACCCACGCTTTCCCCTCGCGCGCCCGCGCCGGCGGCGACGGCCGGGTCGCGCTGCGGTAGCTTCAACGCCTCCTGGTTCATGCCCCTGCCGCCGCCGCCCATCGGAGCCCCGGCTGGTGCTCCGGCCCGGCCCGCGCCGCCGCGGGCTCTGCCGGCTCCCCCGACCTCGGCGCTTTCAGATCTCGATCCGCCGCCCGCGGTCATGGCCTCATCAGTGGTTCTACCCAAGTGGAGCTCGTCCCCGACTCGCAGCCTGCTGTGGTGCCTCCGGGCCGCACCCTGGCTGGGTCCGTGCGCGCCGCTTCTGCCGCGGGCACCTCGCATTTTCAAATCGAGCCTCACCTTAACCGCGGGGTATACCTGGCCAAACCTCGGGCCGGGCCGGGCTTTGGGCCGGGCCTAGCCAAGCCCGAGCCCGGCCCGGCAGGGCCATCGGGCCTAGTTTTTGGGCCCAAGCCCGGCCCGAACATGCAAAAGCCCGCCGGGTCTCGGGCCTCGGGCCGGGCCCCTTCAAAAAACTGCAAAAATGACGGGCCCGGGCCCGGCCCAGCCAGGCCACCGGGCTCAAAATCTAGGCCCGAGCCCGGCCCGGGAGCAGCGTCGGGCCGGGCCGGGCTGCCCATGGCCAGGTCTACCGCGGGGAGACGGGGTAGCTGGCCTGCCTCCTCCCGTCCTGCTGTGGCCGCGCCTTCAATGCCGGCAGCTAGGACGTGCGCGGGGCGCGAGGTCGAGGCGACTGGCGAGGAGACCGGCGGCTGGCAGCTCGTCGTGTCACGTAATGGTCCGCGCCGCCCGGCTTTCGCCGCTCCGGCATTCAAGCCGCCTCCCATCCCCCGTTGGCTCTTGGGCAGATGTTGTCGGTGCATCGCCCGCGGACACAGAGCTTCGACTTGCCGCGAGCCCATCCGCTGCTCTCGCTGCCTTCTTAATGGGCACATGTCGCGTGGTTGCAAGAACCAGTGGAAGTCGCTCAGCTTCATTGACGACCCAGTAGTACCACCACCACCTTTGCCTCGCCCTGCCGCTGCTTCAGGTCTGGCAGTGCCGCGTCCTGGTCGTGGCTGGGAGGTTCCTCGTCCGCTTCCGCAGGCTGCTGCTCCTCGGACAGCCATGCCACGCCTCGGAGACGCCTCTGTCAGGCCGGAGGTGGACTACGTCGTCGTCCCCGCAACTCCCGACATGCAGGCGGAGTCTGCCTTGCTCTCCGCCAATGCCACTGTGGCATGGCTGGAGGGCGCGCGACAGGACGTCCCGTGCAGGCAGGTCGCCACGGAGCTGGCCTTGGCTCTGGGCGCGCGCCCGGCCGACGTCGAGGTGGTCAAGCACTATCCGGAGCAGTTCTTCATCCGGTTCATGCACCAACACCATTGCGCCGACGCTGTGTCCCGTGGCAACCTCCCCAGCGCCGGCTACCGCATCTACGTGCACGAGTGGAGGCTTGAGGCGCACGCCGAAAATGAAGACATGCTCCACCGCGTCCGCCTGTGCATGGAGGGTGAGGGAGTCCTAGATTAAGGGGTGTCCGGATAGCCGGACTATAACCTTTGGCCGGACTCTTGGACTATGAAGATACAAGATTGAAGACTTCATCCCGTGTTCGGATGGGACTTTCCTTGGCGTGGAAGGCAAGCTTGGCAATACGGATATGTAGATCTCCTCCCATTGTAACCGACTCTGTGTAACCCTAACCCTCTCCGGTGTCTATATAAACCGGAGGGTTTTAATCCATAGGACGAACGACAATCATACCATAGGCTAGCTTCTAGGGTTTAGCCTCTTTGATCTCGTGGTAGATCTACTCTTGTACTACCCATATCATCAATATTAATCAAGCAGGAGTAGGGTTTTACCTCCATCGAGAGGGCCCGAACCTGGGTAAAAACATTGTGTCCCTTGTCTCCTGTTACCATCTGCCTAGACGCACAGTTTGGGACCCCCTACCCGAGATCCGCTGGTTTTGACACCGACATTGGTGCTTTCATTGAGAGTTCCTCTGTGTCGTCACCTTTAGGCCCGATGGCTCCTCCGATCATCAACAACGATGCGGTCCAGGGTGAGACATTTCTCCCCGGACAGATCTTCGTGTTCGGCAGCTTTGCACTGCGGGCTAATTTGCTTGGCCATCTGGAGCAGATTGAAAGCTACGCCCCTGACTGTCAGGTCAGATTAGGAAGTTTGAACTACACGACTGACATCCGCGGAGACTTGATCCTCGATGGATCCGAGCCACAACCAAGCGCGCCGCACTGTCACGATGGGCATGACTTAGCTCTACCGCCGAACAGTGCCCTGGAGGCCGCGCCCGCAACAGCTCCGACCCTTAGCTCGGAGCCAACTGCGCCGATCGAGGGCGGGTGGCTAGACACCGCCTCGGGGGTTGCAGTCTCAACGGCGATCGAGCCAAACACCAGCTTTATCCTCTGTGAAGCCCGTGACTCCAAGGTGCCGGACCCTGCTTCGGACTCCGAACCCTCCACGCCCTTGCCAATCGAATCCGATTGGGCGCCGGAATTCACCGCCGCAGATATCTTTCAGCACTCGCCCTTCGGCGACATTCTGAATTCACTAAGGTCTCTCTCTTTGTCAGGAGAGCCCTGGCCAGATTATGGCCAACATGATTGGGATGCGGACAACAAAGAAATTCGACGCCCACCCACCACCCACTTCGTAGCCACTGTCGAGGATTTAACCGACATGCTTGACTTCGACTCCGAAGACATCGACGGCATGGACGACGATGTAGGAGGCAAACAGGAACCAACGCCCCCAGGGCACTGGACAACCACCCCATCCTACGATGTATACATGGTGGACACACCCAAAGGAAACGACGAGGACGAACGGGAGGACGCAACGAAGGGTCGTTCCTCCAAAAAGCAGTCAAAGCGACGGCGTAAGCGCCGCTCCAAGCCCCGCCTCGACAGAGACATCGGTCATACAGACCCAGCCACAGAGCAGGGTGAGCCGGCGAACTATGAACATGGCATCGAGCAACCGTCCGAACAAGGCAACTTGGATAAACAAACCGCACAACCCGTCCCCGGCGAAGATAACAGTCCGGACGACCTCACGCCGGACAAGTTCCTGGAGCAGAAGAACCTCCACAAAAGGCTCGTCGCCACTACGCGTAGCCTGAAAAATCAGAAGCGGAAGCTCAAAACTGCGGAAGATGCACTCAGAATCAGGTGGAGCAAATTACTCAACACCGCAGACAAATACGGAGACAGTCGCCACACAAAAAGCTACCTGAAGCAAAAGCTCCTGCCTGAATTTGATGAGGAGGCCTTAGAACCTCCGCAATCAACAAATAAGGAAGCCACCCGGTCGGATAAACGACCCCATGGCCAATATAGAGCGGTAAGAGGCGCTGCACACAAGCCAGCACACGACCCACTCAAGGATTCGCATCAAAAAGATGGGCCAGCCAGATCTATCTACGGGCCAAGAAAGCAACCTTTAGTAAGCAATGCAACACAACAAACATCCGAACACTACGGCACACCCAAATACAGGGGTGCCGCACACCCCCTATGTTTCACCGATGAGGTGCTGGACAATGAATTTCCAGCGGGATTCAAGCCTATAAACATAGAGGCGTACGACGGAACGACAGACCCTGGAGTCTGGATTGAGGACTATATCCTCCATATCCATATGGCCAGAGGAGACGACCTCCATGCCATAAAATACTTACCCCTCAAGCTCAAAGGGCCAGCCCGGCATTGGCTTAAAGGCCTTCCCAAAAACACCATTGGAAGTTGGGAAGATCCCGAGGATGCTTTTCGGGAAAATTTTCAAGGGACATATGTCCGGCCTCCGGATGTAGACGATTTAAGTCATATAACTCAATAGCCCGGAGAGTCAGCCCGGAAACTCTGGGACATATTTCTTACTAAAAAGAACCAGATAGTCGACTGTCCGGACGCCGAAGCC